AGAGAGAATTCAGATCCACACCCAGCGAAACCAGACACCCACCCTCAATAGGAACAATATGTCAGTGACGCATCATAACTAAAACAGTCTCTTCGATTATGATTTCGATCACATACGTATATACCAATAAGAATTATCAATAAGACACAATAAATTTATATTTTTGATAATAAAATTTAAGATATTCGAACAGAAATTGCTTTGCTCTTTGAATCCTTTTCAAATTCTCAATAATTGATCTAATCCTTTCTATATCGGGATTATTTCCAAGCCTTATCACTAGCTCTTTGGTTTCTTCGATGAAGACGCCAAGTATTCGATTAAGTACTTGTTTATTTTCTTCAAAAAAGTGTTCTCCTACATTGCCGACTGACTTCAATTGCATCAATTCACCAGCGATACGTTCATAATCGTGTTGTCGAATAGCATCAGCTACTTTTTCGGACGAAGCACTCACTCTTGAAAGAAATTTATCACGGTAATTAACATACATATCACGAAACTTTCCTCCATCTAAAAAATTATCTAATTTGCTTAACGCCTGTGAGATCCATAACTGATCTTTTAAAGCTCCTGCTTGTTGCACTATGCTTAATCTTGCCATCTCATCGGCTAATTCATTTTGATAACTTGATAAATTGTTTTGCCAGTGTTCGAGAATTTTCAGATTTGAGAAACAAGAAAAGCTACGAGAATATTCTGTCTTAATCTCCAAAATTTCATGAAGACGACATGATAGTTTGCGAGCTTTCTCGAATATCTCTTTATCATTATTATTATTTTTAACATATCTGATATCATCGAAACAACTTTTCAGTTCTTCTTCAACCAAATTACTATAGTATTTGACGCAATCCTCCAAACTATTAAGTATAGAAATATAATCAATTTTCAATCTAATACGAATATTTTTACAAGCATCCAAATAATGAAACCATTTTTCTGCTTTACTGAAATCTAAGCTTTTGTGCTCTTGTTTCTTCCATTCTTCTATAGTAAAAGAGCATTTTATCATAGTACAGACAGCATTTATATTATCTTCAAACCAACTATTAACATCTTCTAAGTAGTTATTTATATCAGTAAATATTATCTGAAAATGTTTCATTTCATTGATTTCCCATACTGTTTTATATACCAATTCGAGTTTATTGTAATTATCTAGGTCTAAAGGTACTTCCATAATTGATGCTTTTAACTGCTGAATATGTTCAATAAGTTGTTCCTTAAGATCCTTCATGATCTCTGATTGTTCTCCATCGCGATAGTTATTTACCCATCCGGCACTCTGTATAGTCAGTAGGCATTTTATAAGTTTTTCGTAATTAACTTTACCTTCTCGTTGTAATAAAACTCTTAATAATTGTTCAGCACCTCTTTTTGAATTATTTAGATATCCTAGTATTTTTTCCAATATAGTATAGTATGATTTATTTGTTCTAAGCTCGATAATCGAAATTTTCCTGAATGAATCTAATTCTATTAAGAATTGTTCCAATGTAGAAAATGCGTCTTCCTTCTCAAGCTCTGCATTTATTTTCTTCACAACTCCTTCAAAAAATTCTAAAATTTTCGATAAAAGATCTTCATAAATCATTTCAATCTCTTTTTTCGAGATGTAAGGGTAAAGATTATATGTGTCCTTAGCACTTTCTAACATATGGACACAGTTCTTTAGACTATCTATATCATCTTGATCTAATTTTTCTTGATCAAAAACATGATTTATTTTTCTGACAGAGTCCTCTAAATAATTAAGAAAATCGTTCTTCATTTGAGTGCATCTATTTTCTATATCTAAGTGATCTTTTAAAACACTGAATGCTTCATGCACTTTTTTGATATCCTTCGCACTCTCATCAAACCTATTGGATGACATTGAACTTTGAAAAGAATCAAATACTGCTTCGAATTTTTCAGCAACAACTTCACAAAGTTTTTTATATTTATCACTATCAATGTCTGAAAAAGAAATCGAGAGAAGGTTAATTTTCTTCAGAGTTGTATTTACTAAAGGGTCATTGATTTCCATTTCTTTTAGCTGCATAAGAATGGCATTCACTTGGTGATTTAGATTTTGTATGAATGCAGTGCTATGAACGACTTCTTCTCCTAGATGACTTTCTCTTAGTTCATCTGAAAGCTTCGCGTGATCAATACACTTTCTATATCTGCAAATATCCTCATTGTTCAAAGCTTTTTCATTACTTAGACAAATATTCATAGCTTCAATACCTTCTTTGTAATTGTTCGAGAGATGTATTTTTATATATGTAACACAATCGTCGTATATTTGGTTTATATATTCAAGATCAAGTATCTTCTTCAAACGTGTCAATTGATCAAGCTTGTACCTTACTAATGAATACTCGGAACGCTTAGTTGCAGAAATAATACTTAAGTGATCTGTATTCATTTGTTCTTTTAAAACACTATTTGATTTTACTGTAAGACAATATTTAAAAGTTTTATCTGGATGAGTAATACCCTTGGATCGTGCGAGTTTAAATAGAATATCATGAGCATCACTATAGATTGGGTCTAAAACCAATGCTAATTTTCTCGTTTTCAGTACCATATCGTCGAACAAACTACAAAAACTATCATCTCTTTTTTCCATATCATTCATTGATTCTTGAGCATTAACGAGCAATGCATGAATATCATTTTGCTCGTCCGAAGGAAATTTTGTGAAGATGTAAGAAAACATGTCAATATGATCTTCAATTCCTGGGACAATCCCAACCAACATATGAGCTAAATCCTTCACTCCACTAAGTCTGTCTCCAATACTTTTATAACTGATTAACACTACAGGTTTTACTTCTTTACATCCTCTTATCGCTTTAAGGATACCTATTCCATTAGCTATATCAACTTCAGGTCCACCAGTATCGTCAAATCCCGGACAATCACATAACAGAACACTATCATTAGCAACACCACCTACATCTCCGAAAAACACTTTAACAGGGGTAATATATCGAGTTTCTGATCTAGTAAACGGTGTAGTAGTTATCTTATTAAGATCTGGATTTATTATTTTCGCAGGTTGAAAATGCTTTATTCCTTTGACTTTCACTACTTCGAATTTAGTGCCTCCAAGGAAATGAATTGTAGTTGATTTTCCCGAACCAGTTCCTCCAAGAAAAAGAATGATCTTTTTTCCCTTTATCTTCTGTGCTGCATCGCCTACTTTCTCAACAAGCCTGAATAATTCTTGTATATTTAATGGTCTGATTTTCTCTAAAACCACTCCTAGTTCGCTTAAGGCGGAATGCCAATTTTTCTCATTCACAGATGCTGCTGCTGATCCTATCAGTTCTTGAATCTGTAACAAATCTCGTACTTCAATCTCTAATCGTTCGCTCAAACTTTGAAATTCTTGTCTGATTTCACTGTCTATATTATCTGGTATTAGTATATCATCTTGCGGAACTATCGTGTCACCAATTAACTTTAGAGAAAAAAGATACATCAGAGTTAGAATACATTTCTCTGAACATGGTGGCATTGAAAAAAAGTCGTTGTATAGATTTTTTAGACTTGCCGTGGTTATTGTATCGCCTTCCTGTTGTGAGCTTTTACTTAAATTAACATTCGTTGTTTGTTTTGAATGGTAAAATCCTGACCCACTACTTTGCTGCTCAGATGATTCATGAATAGTTGGCTCAACGATCTGCGATTTCAATACGTTTTCCAAGTGTTGAGAATTATGTTTTTGTTGATGGCTAAATAGTTCGCCACTTGTATCAGCAGATTTTCGATCTTCTGCATTTGTAAGTTGTAACTCTTCAACTCGTGTTAATAAATTTTGAATGGTCAATTGTTGACTTTGCGTTGGATTGTCATGCTTTTGTAATTCTATCGGAAATAAAGTCATATGTGGACAAATCTTATTGAATAGTTGTTGGATTTGGCTACGAGGAAACTCCGAAGTAGAAACTGGATTAACATATTCCGCTCGTTCAATCTCTCGTCTGTCATTAAATACTATTAGTATTCCAGTCCAATGAGAATTTCCCAAATAATAAGGAATGAGTACAATGTGTTTTTCTATGTTACTCTGGCTTGCTTGTTGCAAACGATCCTCCCACTGACCATTCACATTAGCATCAACAGCTTCTAACACATCTATCGGTTTAGAAAAACCATGTGGAAATTTTTCATTTTTTAACCGTTCCAATTCTGTCTTCAAACCAATCTGAATTTTCACATATTTGTCCGTTAAGTCATGAAGATCTGCCACAGTATTTGAATTTTCATGAGATAGTGACCCTTTCAATCGATTAGACATATCGAATCTTGAACAATATCGAGCTTTTCAAAAAGATTTTCTAAATAAAAAAATATATATATTTTGTACACTGTCGCAAGTTAGAGAGGTCATTATTTTTCTGGTATTATTCACATGTAGATGAATATAGGGTGTGTGGGGGGGGGGGGGTAGCTGTGGTTGTAACTGCGGGTATGGGTGTGGAAGTGGATGTATGGCTCATGGAGAAATATACATTCTCACACCCACCACACCCATCCACACTCACACCCTCACTGCTCCAACTATATTTGATCAGAGATATTGATACTAGTCCATCAGATTGGTTCAGTCTCGGGTGTTCCATCTGTAAACTTTGAAATTGTATTAAATTCATGCAGTTTTTCAATATCCTCCAAAAGAATCCTGCCAGTAGCGTGATAATTTTTAAAAAATCTGCCGCTACCGTGCCGCTGTCGCTGCCGTCACCGCGGCAGCGCCGTGATGGACATCTCTGGCCCAAATAAAACAGTGTATCTTCTGCTGTGTTTCAGAATGAAGAGACCCCAAACTGAATTTTATATACGTTGTGCAACTATTTATTCTCTACAAAATGGTGAAAAAATATTTGAAAAAATATTTGAAAAAAGTTTTCTATTGATGCAAAAAAAGGGCTTACACCTTCGAATTTTTCGTTGTTTTTTGTGATTTTTTCATAGAATATGAATATTTTTAGCAGTTTTCATTGGTATGATCTAATGATAAATAAAAATAAATACGATATTCGGAATCAGCATGAAAAACTGCATCTATCCATATATGTTTTAGCGAAAAATTTTTCCTAGAGAAAATAGAACTGTACTCCGCCACAGCTTTATTTCAAAGAAAATTTTTCCCCTGGTCCCCCACAAGCCAATTTTGGCCAGGAAAAGTTTCTCGCTAAAACATATATGGATAGATG